TATTCTCATTGAAATAGAAAAAAAATTCAAAGTCTATATTTTGAGCAGTTTGTGTTGAACATCATAATTACATTTGACTTCTTTGTAGAGTTAAATGAGATGATAAAAAATTAACGAGCCTAGGAAAGATAATAGCATAAAAAAAATACAAAATTAGCCTGATGTTACAATTGATGTAGATGATAAAGACAATACTCTAGAATTGCCCGAGAAATGATAAATGATAAACCTGAAGAAGGATTGATCTTAACTCAATAAAAAATAAAATAGAAGAAATAAAAAACAATATTTTCTGAATATTTTATAGGATAGTTTAATTATTTTGAGTGAAATTAGGAATCTTTAGAAGGGAGTTTCATGAATTTTTTCAGTACTTTTATATTCTTATGTGGATGTTTTTATCATATAAAAGTATACTAGATTTAATATTAATCTTTAATTTATATTTTTTATGAAGTCTATCAATGATTAGGAATAAACTTCATATTCTCTTTTGCATCGTTTTAACATACTTTAAATCAATCATTTTACCATATTGGTTTTAAATATTCACCTTCCTTGTATAACTATTTTAATATTTTTCACTTTGCAATGCTATACTTTCTCAAATAAAGCTTAGTTTCATATTGGTAAAAAATAATATGAAAATTCAAATTATTTTTAAATTATATTTGTTTTTTGTCAATTCAAATATCAACATGAAAATTTAAATTGGGTGTATCCCATTTAAACAAACATAAAAAAATAATCGGGATGTAAGAGTTTAAAGAAAAAATGGGCACAAACTGTAAAAAATACTTAATCATGGTATTAAATCACGTGCATTGCACGTGTGTAAAAACTAGTATTGCTAAACGTACGAGGGAATAACCACACTTGTCGATATTCATATAGATATGTCAAACATATATCTTAGCATATTCTTTCATTCTCTCAATCATATTACTAATATTTCTGAATATATCCTCCCTAATATACTAATATATTCTTAACATAATATAGATTCTCCCAATATTCTCCTTAACAGAGAGCAACAGACCTTTGGCCCCTTTTATATTGAATTTTAGGGTTTAGTTAAGTTATTTTTGACATTGCTGGATTTCCATCAATTTAATAAAATAGTTTATCACGTTTTTATAAAAAAGTTCCAATGGTCTATAATGGGTTTTGTGAAAGAGAGGCGCTACAGGCACACTCTAAGGCACACCACCAACCATACACCCTCTCTCTCTACAGTGCATGGGGCTCCATATGTGATTTTTTAAAAAATTTACATGTGGGACCCCTGCACTGTAGAGAGAGAGGGAGTGTGGTTGATGGTGTGCCTTAGAGTGTGCCTCTATCATTTCTTTTTGTGAAATATTAATTTAATGATGCCACAAGCCTACAACCGGGAAGACATGAGAGAACAGGGACACAGTCGACATTATCTAAAATGTCAGTAATTATAAGGACCCAAACACAGTAATTTTTCTTATAGAGCCCAAAAACACACCGTACAACATTTCGAGCCACGCAAGTGGAACATATAGTGACGAAAGTAGCCTCCAATGTTAGGGTAATTTTTCCGGCTAATAGACTGGTGCAAAAGTAATCTTTCACTTATAGCGTGGACAACCTCGGCAGTTAGGCCCAAGCGTGCAGGCACCCACTCCTCTCATTCTCGACACCTTCTTTCTCGTGCGAACCACACGTGCTCATCCTCCAATCCGCTGACGTGGCGCTCCGCTCTTCGGCGTCCACGTGTCGGTCACTGTATAAAAACCTCTCTCGCTCCTTATCGCCGGCATCCCAAAATAAGCCCCCTTTCCCCCGCGCCTCCGTCGTCGCTCCATTTTGGAGAGAGAAACGGGAAAAATCCAGCGAAATCAGGAAATTTCTAGGGCTCAGACGAAACCCCAACCCAGAACCCGTACGATCTGAAGTCGCCGATATTGATCTTTCTGTTCTTCCAGAAGGCAATTAGGTCGGAGCTTGATCGCCTTCATCGAGCTTCCGTAGCCTTTGCTACTGATGGGAGCGGCGATGTTCGATCGCTAGCGGATCGGTGCAGGTTTCTTCTCGCGATCTATAAGCATCACTGCAATGCTGAGGACGCGGTAATGGTTGTTTTCTTGTTATTTTTTTAAAAAATTTGCTTTGTAGTTCTGTGGTTTGGCCTTTTCTGGTTGACCTAGTTGCAATCGAGTTCACTTACGAGTTGGAAGAAATGGAAACTTTCAAGGTTCTTATGCCAGAATTTTTGTTTGTTTGATTCGGGAATTTTCTGTGTGAAGAGCATTAAGGGATTCAAAGGGAGTATAGGGGCAAATATAAACTTAACCGCATCTGTCTTTTCTATTTATTATATTTTTTTAAGGCAAGAACAGGATTAATAATTTCCAATCAATTGACGACAATTCAACTGTATTGCGTTTGTTGTGCGAAGCTGCAATATGTTTCTTGTATGGTTGGGTACATCAGTATATTTTTCAGTCATAGCTGGTGGATTAGCTGCGTGGATACTTTATAAAAGTGCAGAATCCTTTGTCTACCCAGAAAAAAATAATTTTTTTGATGTATTTTTCCGAGTAGTGTTTTTAGGCCTTGACAAGGGATGATAGTGTGGAGGACATGGTATATGGACCATGCTATTTGTTGCGTAAAAGCGCCTTCTCAAAAGGACATTGATTCCCTTAATTTTGCTTCTTTGTCAGAAGCTCTAATTTTTAGCGTTTTCGCTAAGCTTGTTACCTTAAACAAACGTCTTCTGCCATTTTAGTTTCTGCCATTTTAGTCTGTAAAATAGCTTTCAAGCTTTTTGATTCTTGAGCGTCTTGGATCTTATTACATTAAAGATGCTAATCAAGTCTTTTGGTCATATTTGATAGTCGGCCAGTATCTCCTTTTTATAGGAGGACTACATGAACTATGTTGATGGATGCAGCATATCTGAAATTGTACAAGATTTTGGTCTGTCGGACTCTTAAATCATTCCAAGTTGTGAGGCATTTTTTGGGTTTTTAAAGTGCGTCTCATAGTCATATGAACAAAAGACTAGCTTCTTTTAAATAACAGAAATAGATAAGATGACAATTCATTTTGTTATATGAGCTACTAAGATATAGAGTTGTGAGGCCGATTCTGCAAGTTACATCATAGAAGTAGCTTAATGCTCTATTTGGTGGCAGCTTATTTTACTTATTGAGCTGCCAGATCATATCCTGTGCACCCTATCTCTTGCACATGCACACACACAAACACAAATCCATACATGGACATCAAACCACAATATGTTGACCTAAAGTAGATGGGGTATCATGTTGATTGAACTAAGATCAATGATCAATCTTTGGCTTAGTCGTTTGAATGCTTTAGGTTCAACAGCTATCTGGCTGTTTTCTTCTTAAATGTCTTTCCTTTGTTGTTTCATCATATCTTGCACATTGCTAGTCAAATCAGAGATTCAGAATGAAGAGATCGCGGTGTTAATAACTGATAGCTAGCCCTAATCTTGTTTAGTATGTCCTAAAATTTGATTGTTTCATGAAGCTGAGGGGAAAAGATTCTTTGTCACTCTATGACCAATTATGCTTTGTCCCAGAAAAACTTGATTAAGCCAGAAAGACCAAAATAAAGGTAGTTGGGAGCCTGGTATCAGTTATTGAGATAGATGAAAGAGAGTACAAGAAGATTGCGATAAAAGAGTGCATGTATTAAAAAAATGGAGGAGCTCCTCAAAGATAAGATTATGGAAAATCACTCACTTGCAATAGACTGATAAATCACTATTTAGGTGGAACATTTTGTTTGTAGTTGAGGGAGAAACCGATGTTCTAAAATGTGAATTAAGCGGCCGCTTATGTCTAAGTGGGTTGGAATTGCTCCGATTAGGGAACAACGCTTCATTATGCAGTCATCTGCATAATTGGATGCATTTTCAGTAAGACACATAATTTTTTTCTGTGTGGGTGCTTTTCTTTTAAATCCTTCCGGGGTTAAATCTTTTTACTGCAAACCTGACCTGACTACTTAAGTTAAAAAAAAACCTAACTCTAAAGTTTTCCCAGAGTTCCACTACTTTCTCTATTCTCTCTCTTGTTTGAACCCAATATTTGCGACAAATATCTCCGGCCTTTGTCGATAGTTGCTCAAACTCGGGTCACTCACGAAAACTCATTGGAAGATCGTACGACCTTCGACACTTTGCTACAAGCTCGCTTACAATCACCTTGAAGCTTTCCGGCATTCCCTTCAAAGTTCTCCAGCGAAATAGATTGGTCAAAGCTTCTAAGTATATTTTATATTTTTCGTGAATTTTATATATTTTAACATATTATAAGTGTTTCTTGTGGGCAATCCTTAAAGTCAAGTCTAAGCTCACACCACCACCCCTGCTCTGCCTCCTCTTTGTCTAAGAGGAGTGTCTGCTGGCTCTATTATAACAGTGCAAGGTTTAATTCTTTTTTCAGTATATGGAAATGTTAAAAGATATAATTTTTCATCCTATAATGAGCATAAATCTCATTAATCTCATTATAATCCTCATTTAAACCTTTCCGACTTGAGAAATATTTTGTTATGAAGTTCAATTCCATATTTAGAAAGCATATCATGGGCAATTTTTCTAACATTTATTCATGTGTATTGACCTGATTTAGTCCTGTGAATATGTACAAAAGTTTTAGTTTCTGAATTTCCTGTTTCTAGTAAGCCAGGAGCTGGTATGATAAGTTATTTTATCGTTGATACTGTTTAAGCTCATTATATTATGTGTGTGCTCCAAATTTCATTACAATAAGAAATTCTCGAGAAGAGAGGAATTTGTACAAGCTGTTAGTGGAAACTGCACTTATCTATGAGGCATTATATAAGCCATAAGGGACAAAAAGGAAAGTGCCATATTTTAGATTAGAAGCCTGATTGTTTGACCACATAATTTTTTTTGATCCGCAGGTTATCTTTCCGGCACTTGATATACGAGTAAAGAATATAGCACAAACATATTCTCTTGAACATAAGGGGGAGAGTGCTCTTTTTGATCAGTTGTTTACCCTGTTGGGTTCAAACATAGAACATGATGATAGTTTCCGAAGGGAATTGGCATCTTGCACTGGAGCCATTGAAACATCACTTAATCAGCACATGTCCAAGGAAGAAGAGCAGGTACATGCTTTATCTTAGTTTTTTTGGTAATTATTTTAAGGTTGTAAATATTATAGTGAATCTGCCATGATTTTGGGTAATTGTATAAATGAAAATAGGTCTACTTCAATGTATCAGGACAATACATTCTTTGGTAAATAGAAATTATAAGTTCATGTCATACACAATGTACAGTACACTACATGGGATACCCTGATACTATTAGAATGTGATATCATCCCTGTGCACAGAACTATGCCAAACATATATATACTACATTGGATTATGTCCTCAACAGTGGATATATTCCAGTATTCCACCTATATGATCCCATCAAGCTCTCTCATATTATTCAGCATAGGTGAGACATAGTCCTCAAAGTTTTTATTTTGGATATAAGCTCATCTGGGACATGATATATATGCTTAAATGTGGATTTAGAAGCTAGATAATAATCGTAAATATGCTCAGATCTTAGCATGGTTTTAAATATCCTCTATGTATCCTTTTATAAGGTTTGCTTAAAAATGATATGGTCTCAACATCCTTGACTGCATTTTGGTAATTTTATTAGATATACCATGAATTTCTTGATATATTAGGTGACATATCTTCCTCAAAAAATTACTGAAATGTTGTAATGTCGATTTTGACTTTTATTTGCTTTAAAAGATTGGATTGAGGTCTAAACCCAAATAGATATTTGCTTATGTAAATAATCGTAAAGAAGAATTAGAGCTCAATATAGACCAAATTCTTTGGCAAAATGTTTTACAAAAGAGATCATGTTTCTCCACAGCTCCATTTTTTAGTGCAGCTATGATATGTATATAGACATTATATAGACGTTATTACACATGACACCCCAATGTTTATTAAGTATCTTCGATATGTCTCCGATATCCTCCATCCAATGTGTAATTTTTGTATCCGACTTATCCCTGACGTCTGATACTTAAAACACTGGACCTCAGAGCTTAAATATGAAGTCAAAGCTATCATCCAATCCATATGCTAGCCCAAGCTGCACTATTGAACAATAACAATTGATTTAAGATTGTTCCATAGAACTTGTACTGGAAGTAAGACATTATCATTTTTTGTTTCATTATTGTTGGCACTTGTCTAATTATTGAAAAAATTTCTCCTCCAATGGAGAAACAAGAGATGATGGCCATGGAGATGGTGATGGAGGACGGAGATGATGGATGTGTGAGGGAAGGGTTCGGGGGATAACATTGGGAGCATGTAACTGAAAGTAATTCACCATTAAATAATTAGTTCTACAGGCCATACTGTAGCAAATTCGATTTAGTTGAAAACCATTAACATCAATCATATGAATTCTTAAGCTATTGTTATTATCCAATTTTCCAATTATTTATTGAATGCAAGGTTGAAAATGAGGGTTGTGGCAGGCAGTGGATAGTTGTGCACAGCTTTTGATGCTTAAACACAGGCAATAATTCAACAAGAATGTAGTTAATAGAGATCTATCCCTGCCAAGTTTCATGATTAACTTACAAGAAAACTGAATTAGGAATCAACTAGACAAGTTAACTTGTGAACAAACTGCATGAGAACTTATATACTTTATGTAGTTCAAGTTTCCATGATCAATTGATAGACCCAAGGCATTGTGAAGTGTACTTTCCATCAGTTATTCATATTGAACGTAACTGCGGTAAAGAATAGTAGCTAGCAAAAGTCAAATTACTTGCTTAGCACAAGTCAAAGTTATATCTGTGAGAAGTGGGATTTAACATATTGATGAAAGAATTGGGAGTTTTAAGCTGTCATGTATATCTCTCACTAACTTGTTACTGTGGTTGTGTCATCTGCCTACGGTTACTTTAGCTGATATTTGGAGCACTACAACCCTTTTAACATCATCTTTTTTACTAGGAGACCCGAACTGTAACTTGGGTAGACCCAAAATTTTGTTGTATTTGCATATTCTTATAAATAAGATTCTAGGGGGAAAAACCTTTTTCTCCTTTCTTTTGTTGGATGGTCTATTCCCCAACCCTTCATAGTTCTAATGTTGTTATTTTCGTTGGCCACATTAAGGTATTGATTAACGTGGAATGGGGTTGTTTGCCAGGATTTTGATATGACTGAAGGAAGTGTGGATAGTATATTTGTTCTTATGTGACGGATTTGTAGGTGCGATTATGTTTGATTATATGCAGGATGTTCTCCACATGAATAGCATCGGTACCAGCACATGTGCTTCTATGTACCTTATTGCAATACACGAGTTAATCCGAAAGGCCTGGGAGGATAAGGCATTGTAGGGCTACTCTGTATGGCTATGGCCCTTATCATTTTGTGAAGAATTTCTCATTAGTTAAAGCTTTACAACAAATTTGTTTTTGGCTCTATTCTTTCTAAGGTGAGAATCTAGCAGGGGACATCAGGGTTGATCGAATGAATATCATGAATTTATAGGAGACGCGGTATACACAATATGATGGGATTGAGATATGACATAAGGCAATCTCATAACAAATAGGATTCAAGGCAGGAATTCACTAATGTATAAATATGTTTAAAGCTTTAATCATTTGAATAGAACTTCAATGTGAAAATGAGGACAATAAACATCAATAAGAGTAAAATAAGTGTTAGACAAAAGAAATAACAATCGATTCACTAGTAATTGGAGTGTACGCCACAAATCACACTAGTGTTCTGAAGTAGCATGCATCGAGTTGTTCTCCCCTATATTTTAAAATTATGCAAACTCTCATTAGCAATCAATTCTACATTGTCCTTGGTCAGTCCTTTTTCTTTTTCTGTTGCAAAACAGGCAGGTGACAGATGTGTCAATGAAACATGATTGAATTTTGAGCCTTACGTATCCCATACATTTGGGTACTAACAAATTTTAGATTTATCAAAAGTGTGTCAGGCACATGTGAAGTATTATGGACTGTGCCTCATTTGATTATTCTGTAAGCTATTTAACAGTTGATATAAACAAGAGATAGTTAGATTGTGCCCCTATAAATGGCTGAGAACCCAGTACATGGATACAAAATAAATGCTTATATAGCGTACAGAACATGGATATGTGGATATGGATGGTCACTTGTGGATGAGGAAAATCCGAAAAGATTGATGTATGACATGGATAGAAAATATAATATATATCTTCTATAATCTGTGTTGTGGAAAAGCTACAATACCTGGGTACTTCTAATGTGTATCCGTACCTGTAGCTGGTACATGTCGTACCTGTACCCATACCGGCCACTTCTTGGACACCTTAAATATATGCATGTATTTATTCGGACCCGTACTCAATTATATACTACATGTTTAATTTAAAGCTCTCATCATACACTTCTTTGATATATATCCTACTGTTCACATCCATTTTTGTAACTTGTTGGATAAGGGACGATTTCATTTCACCCTTAAGAACTACGAGTTAAATGTATCGTTTGCATATATAGGTCAGAACTATCATTATATCCCATGAGTTTCAGCCATATCCCTGTATCCTACCTTTTACAAATTTACGGTGTCCCTCACCCATACCCGTAGCCATACTTGTGCAACTTAGTGGAAGAGTAACCCTGATCAGTACTAAGTGCTGTGGGGAGTGCCGTCTCCTTCGCATGCACTTGTCAAGTCATTGAGCTTCTAGCATCTATACATGAAGAGAAGCACGATGTGTTTTCAAGCCCCCTTTATTGTCTTTAGTTTTCATGGCCAGAACTGTGGCAGCAAACTCCAGAGTCGATATCTGCACTTGCATCACATGTGCATGCATGTGTACTTTGTGTTTCGTCATTGGATTATCAAATTGCAAACATTTTCAAGATCGGTTCTACATTCCAAGCATATTGAAAGAGAAGCCATCTGTCTGATTATTGGACTGCTACAGTGCATTACATTCGATATACATGGACAAGAAAACCATGAAATTGACCATCCATCTATCAGTTAGTACTAGTTTCACTCTCTTCTTTTTTTGCAGATAATAGTGCTTTATTTTTGTTGTTGTTGTCTTTTACATACATTTTACCATAATCCATTTAACCTTTGCAGTCAAATGCAAGTGTACCCTAATTGTTTGAGATTGTTACAGGTCTTCCCTTTGCTTATAGAGAAGTTTTCATTTGAAGAACAGGCTGATTTGGCATGGCAATTTCTTTGTAGCATACCTGTCAATATGATGGTGGAGTTCCTTCCTTGGCTTTCATCTTGCATTTCAGCTGATGAACGTCAGGATATGATCAAGTGTTTGTGCAAGATAGTTCCTGAAGAAAAGCTTCTTCAACAAGTAGAATTTGTTTTATGCTTGGTAGCCTTTTCCTTATCAGGATTTTTTTCTCTCAAAATAATTGGTCGTCTCTTAATAACTGAAGGTCATATTTACCTGGATGGAGGGGAAAAGTGTCCCAGAAGTTGGCCAGAAGTGTAACTGCATTGAGGCTTCTCAGTTACAAGATCTTCCCAGTTCTGGTCCTGGCCAGTGTGTCACCCAGTCCGATAGGCAGGTTTGTTCAGAACATTCAAAAATTGGGAAGAGAAAGCATACAGAGTCAGGTTGCTGTAATGTTGACTTTCCTGAAGCATATCCTATAAATGAAATATTGTACTGGCACAGTGCTATAAAAAACGAACTGAATGATATTGCAAAGGAGGCAAGAAAGATTCAGCTCTCTGGTGATTTTTCTGATTTGTCAGCATTCAATGCACGACTACAGTTTATTGCCGATGTATGCATCTTCCATAGGTATGGTTTCTTAAATAATGTTCCAACAAACATAATATGGTACTATTATTAGTTCATTTCACTTGAAAAATTATGAATTAATTATAATTAATTAATTACATTTTATCTAAATCGAGAATCATACTTTGTTTTTCTTTTCCCTATCCTGATGCATCGGTGTTTAATCAACTTGGATGCAGGTGTTGGTATCTGTTAGTAAGCTAGCTTCGAAATGAAAAAGATTTACCTTTTTCATTTGAATAACAAAATGTTGCCTATTTTACTTCTACGGGACGTTGCATATAACCATATATCACCATTAACAAATCTATGTGCAGGAAAAATATGGGTTTCGAAAGAGCACTGTTAAGATTATATGTGTAGCTTGAATATCATTGTTTTAAATATCCCGACATGGCCCGATATATCGCCCTATATACCCTTTTACGGGATTGCCGCAATCAATATGGTCTCCAAATGTCCTTTACCGCTTTCTGGGCAATATATCTCTGATGTGGATGATATATCAGCTGATATGTCGGCCGATGTATTCTTTTATATGGCTTGTTGGAAAACAATACATTGCATCTAGCATTTTTTGGGTGAGATATCATGATTTTCCTATTATATCATATGACATTTTGGCCTAAAAAAATTTGACAAAATGTTTCAATGTTGAATTATACTTTTGCTTGTTTTACAATGTTGATTAGTGATCCTAAACATATATTATTTACATTTTGTATGTTTAGATTTTATAAGTATGTTGAGATTACATTTTGGTACATTATACTATATATGCAAACATTCGTAATGGCATTTCGATATTTACTATATATCCCTGGTATTTCCTCGATATTTCTCAATCATATATGAATTTTGACCATATGATACTTCCCTGATATCCGCCATCCGTATGATTATCGGACCATCCAATATTTCCCTGCATATCGATATTTAAAACCATGGGTAAATATAACTTGACTATGCATCATCAGTGATATATATATATATATTATATAGTATATTATATATATATATATATATATATATATATATATATTTATGAGAGAAATGGAGAAACTTTGTACTAAGCTTGCCTCCAACAACTTGCTTACCCAAGTTGCTCCAAACAACTTGTATGATGACTGACCTAATCTGATCCCTACATTTATATTTGGAGTTGGTGAAAGCAGTGTAGGCTCTATCTTCGAGGCTGTGATGTTAGGGGCCAGATTAGACCACATCACTTTACCAAGCTTACTTAAAGCAACTTGGTACCCAGGCTTCTCCATTTCTTCTCTCTCTCTCTCTCTCTTCTTCTATATATAATATTATATATATATATATATATATATATATATATATAGAAAAGTGCTTCATAGCGTGGCACATTAGATGTCAGTCTAAGGTTAGCGGCTCTTGATTCATGAATTAGGCTACTCTATTTGATGATCCACTCCATTCATCGTGATCTCAATGTCTCAAAACATCTATAAATGCAAGCACAACTTTGAATAGAAATCATTAATCTTATAATCACTTGATGCATGAGTAACTAAAATTTAATATGGCTAATTTTTTGTTTGTGTACAATCCAAAGCATGTAAATTAAAATAAACTGAGTGGACCGAGTAATTTGATAACATATAATCTATGTTACCCGGGTACTTCTATAATGAAGCCGTACCCGTACCGGACACGTACTTGACACTTTCCCGCACCCAAACTTCATGGACACTTCTTGAATATGTGCATGCATTTATTAAAACATGTACTCAATTAAACGATATATGTGTTAATTTAAAACACTTGTCAAAGACTTCCTGGACGTAGAGCTTACACTTCACATCCGACTTTTGAAACTATGAGATACGGGTCGGATTCGTTTCAGTCCATACCCAAGTTTAAAACTATATAGTTAATGGGTCGTTTAGATGTCTAGTAAAAAAATGAGTAGTTTACAATTCACGATAATCAATATGATAAAAGAAACTCAAAAATATGATCGGAATTTTAATTCTAATGACACATGAAGGGGAAAAATTATCTTATGTAATATATTAATTCAATATATATATATGTAGTCGTGTCCCCGTACCCTACATTTTACAGTTTTGTCGTGTCCCGTACCCACACCCGTACCAGTACCCGTGCCCGTTTCCATGCAAAACCAGTCGGGTGTTGCTGCCAGGTTAGTCCTCGCGCTGAGTCGCAAGCGACGCGGATTCTCAAAGGCACTTTGCTTGACTTCAGATTCGATGCGCAAGCAGCGCACCATCACCACACACTGAATTTGGGGCGGAACGCCTCGTGCTCGTTGGTTTGACTGGCTTGGCGTCAGGGCTGATGTTGAGGCGATGCGTGCGACGCACAAGCACCAGGGCGAGATCGCAGACCAGGCATCATCCTCGTAATTCCAGGGCGAAAGACGTCAATGTATTCCTGTATGAGGGCGAATTTTGCAGATCCTGCTTTTTCTATGAGGAGGGCAGGCTCGCCCGCTGCATAGAATAGGTTTGGGATTCGCCTCAGTACCCATGTTCACCTGGAGGAGCTTCATCTTGCAAGGTTGGTGGTCACACACACACTCACGCACACACGAGCACTGAGCGGAGCACGACGCAGCACACACGACACACACACAAGCGACCTGTTGCCAACCTGGACCACACACACACAACAAGCACCACAACCAATGCAAGCGCAATCACCGCATTTGTCTCACGATCAGCGAGCAAAGCATGGAAGTTGTTCGTGCCTCCTACTACGACCCATTAACACAACACAACGTCAAAGACCGGGGTCTACTGTAGCCATGTTGAACTGTAAGGCCAATCGAACAGATCTACACACACACACACACACATTCACACACACACAGAATACACAACACACACACGACACACACACACAACACACACAGCAAGCCACACACACATGCACACACCACACACACACACAACACACTGAACACATATATTATATATATATATAATATATATATATATTATATATATATAAGACGAGCTCATGAAATTGGTTTTTTGTCATATCGGCCATAGTATCTCATGGGCATAATTTTGACCAAATTGTAAAATTTGGCATGTCTTATGCAAGTTCGAAATTTATCTTTTGCACTGCTTGAGATGTATGCTTTACTTAATTTTCTTACGATGCACTCCAAGTATCTACTCTATTCACATAAAACTGGTTAAATTGCACAATGTATTATGTAAACTAACACAAATCAGTAAAGTGAGGAACATGGGTATATTTAATGTCTATTACGTTTTTTAGTCCTTTTTTTCACATGATCTCGTTTGTTTTTTATGCAGTATTGCAGAGGATCAGGTAATATTCCCAGCAGTAGATGCGGAGGTGTCTTTTGTGCAGGAACATGCTGAAGAAGAGAGACAATTCAATAAATTCAGGTGTTTAATTGAAGAAATGCAAGCTGCAGGGGCCAATTCAACATCTGCTGATTTCTATTCAAAGTTGTGCTTGCATGCTGACCAGATAATGGACACCATCCTGAAGCATTTTCACAATGAAGAAGCTGAGGTAATCTTCATTTTGGCAAGAGATATCGTGTAGGTTTTAATAGGTGTAGTGGAAACTATCACTTATTTTGCTTTTTTAGGTTCTTCCTCTTGCCAGGAAGCATTTCTCGCAGAAGAACCAGCGGGAACTCTTGTATAGGAGTATATGTGTGATGCCATTGAGATTGCTAGAGCGTGTTTTGCCATGGTTGGTTGCAAAGCTAAGTGATGAAGAGGCACAATGTTTTCTTAAGAATTTGCATATGGCAGGTCTTAGTTTCATCCTTTGTAGTGTTACTCCTGTACCTATATTTTATCAACTCCCTGTATTTGACGTTTATTTTTTCAGCACCACTATCTGACAGGGCATTAGTTACTCTTTTGTCTGGTTGGGCATGCAAGGGACGCGCTCAAGATATTTCTTGCTCTGAGAAGTTTATATGCTTGTCCTCAAAGGCAATTGGTTGCTGCCCAGTAAAAGAAGAAACTGAGATAGAAGAAGATTTCAAAAGAGGGTTCTGTGCATGTGCTGCTTCTATGAACACCCAAGGTGAATCGTTACTTGTCGGAGCAGCTAATGGGAAAAGGCCTATTAAACGGGGCCATTTATCAGTATCGTGCGGAAATGATGATGCATGTCACCATTCAGAAGCTGCAGAGGTTGAGAATTTGCCATATCCTAAATCCTGCTGCGTTCCTGGGTTAGGAGTTGGCAGTAGTAATTTAGGAATCAGCCGACTTGCATCTGCAAAGCCTTTACGTTCATTGTCCTATAATTCTTCTGCTCCTTCCTTTAGTTCCAGTCTCTTTTTCTGGGAGACTGACATGATGTCATCTAATGCGGGGAATACAGTGAGGCCTATTGACAACATTTTTAAATTTCATAAGGCAATTCGTAAAGATCTGGAGTATCTAGATGTTGAATCCGGAAGACTTATAGACTGTGATGAATCTTTTCTCCGGCAATTCAGTGGGAGATTCCGTTTATTATGGGGTTTGTATAGAGCTCATAGTAATGCAGAAGATGACATTGTTTTTCCTGCTTTAGAATCTAGAGAGACACTGCACAATGTGAGCCATTCATATACCTTGGACCATAAGCAGGAAGAGAAGCTGTTCAATGATATATCTGAAGTTCTTTCAGAACTTTCCGAGTTGCATGATGGTCTGGTGAAGACTGATGCTGCTGGAACCAGTGTCAGATCATCAGCTCATCATACAAGTTGGATGAAGAAACACAATGAACTTGCTACAAAACTTCAAGGCATGTGCAAGTCTATACGAGTTACATTGGATCATCATGTTTTCAGGGAAGAACTTGAGTTGTGGCCACTATTTGACAAGCACTTCTCCGTGGAAGAGCAGGATAAGATTGTTGGGCGAATAATTGGGACTACAGGAGCAGAGGTCCTCCAATCAATGTTGCCGTGGGTAACTTCTGCACTTACTCTGGAGGAGCAGAACAAAATGATGGATACATGGAAGCAGGCAACGAAAAATACTATGTTCAGTGAGTGGCTAAATGAATGGTGGAAGGATATTCCCTCATCTCCACAGGATTCAGAAGAGAGCTCGATTCTTCCAACAGGTCGCTGATAAAAGTAGTTAATCACTGTTCACATTGTGTCTTGGTATTATGCTGTCTATAACAGTATAGTTGTCTTGTATGACATATTTTATGATATTTCTTTTCTTTATGGATCATTAAGTTGTTCCTTACACTTTTGGCGTTTCAGAAATGGATGTCCAAGAAAGTCTTGAGCAAAGTGAGATGTTCAAGCCTGGATGGAAAGATATATTTCGCATGAATCAAAATGAGCTTGAGTCTGAGATAAGAAATGTTTCTCGGGATCCGACACTTGACCCTCGGAGGAAGGCGTACCTTATTCAAAATCTCATGACAAGGTTTGATCTGCTTAGATCTAGATACTTCCATATTTCTGTTTCAGAAATGCTAATTAACTCATGTTGATCAATCTTCTGTAACTAAAACTAATTGATAATGATTATTGCAGTCGTTGGATCGCTGCTCAGCAGAAGTTACCTCAAGCTAGTAAAGAGGAAGGTACTGATGGTGGTGTACCAGGATGTTCTCCATCATTCCGGGATCCGGAAAAGCAAGTGTTTGGCTGCGAGCATTACAAAAGGAACTGTAAACTCCTTGCTGCATGTTGTAACAGATTGTTTACATGCAGATTTTGCCATGATAAAGTCAGTGATCATTCAATGGACAGGTAACATCATTCATAGAGCCAAACTTTGTCATGTGCCCTCACAAATGTATTATTTGCTTTAATTTGATTCCGTGATGCTCTTACATGGTTGACTTCTGAAGACTGCTCAAAATCTGTACTAATCTGTAATGATTATAGTGGGAACATTAAGGAAAGAGAAATCATGTAGAGTTATGGAGGGTAAATGGCAATATAAAACAAATAATTTCTTTCATCGTCTCCTTCCTACATGCAAGCCCCCATCTCATCCTCTCCTTCCTACAACCCCCCCCGCTCACACCCCGCCCCCCCCGACAACAAAAAAAACGCTCTCTTACGGAGGATATAATGTGGAGTTATGCTGGGTAAATGGCGATATTTAAAAAATATTTTCATTTCATCCTCTCTGCCCTACCTTCCCTCCTCTCTCTTAAATGTTAATGTAATTGGTCAAAAAGATCTTAGCAAAATACACTAAGAATGAACAAGTTTTACCTTTAAGTACTTCTCAAGTTAAATTCTTTCTAAATAAAAATTTAAACATACATTTATGTTTTTAACATATTTATAATAATATGATTTTAGTGTTAATTTATGTTAATACTTACATGGTAGATTATTAATATAATAGATCTCATGATATCTATTAGTACATATTTTTGTACCAATGAAATATTCGTTGGAAGTGATGAACAATTTTCAAACTTATACTGAATTGATACAAATGTGGTTTCATTATAAATTTCTATTTCCATTTTTTCTTTTTTCTTTTTAACCACTTACTCTAATTTTAATATCTACAATACAACTTATCTAAATTATTTATCAATTTAATTACTTAATAATAATAATTTGGGATACATTTTCTATATCGATCTCTATATGTAACTTAGGTTACATTGAATGATCATAAAATAATTTATATGTATGATATATCCATTTATTCTATTGTATGAAGAAAATAGCGGATAGTCAATACTTAAAGAGGATTTTTTGGATAGCAATTTCATGTTTCTTGCACATGCATTGTACATGCCAAATTTGCTAGTTATCATTATGTCTAGCAAAAATTTCTGATTGTGACTTCTGCATAGTAAGGCTATGTTAGTTCCCTTTGGGGAAAAAAATCCAAAATGAAGGAAGACATGTTGGCACTCTAAAGAGACGTTTTTGGATAGTTAAATGCTAGGTTGTTTGGATTAATTTAGGAGTGGTGACCATTTAGATGGCTATGGGATTTCCTATTATATGGTACTAATTTTAAACTTAGCAACTTCAATGAACTCTAAATATTTGTGATAGTATGATTTACAAAATGTTTCACTTTAGGAGACCATGATAGAGAATTTTACAGACCCAATATTCTCATAAGATATTAGCATATAAAATACCTTTCTTTAAATAGGTCCATGCTACAAACAAGTTTTACTCAACATAAACATAGAGACAACAAATATAACTAAATGGGAAAAAAACTCTGTAATGTAAAGGTTAGTATCCAATTCACATTAAAAAAACATTGGGACTGTAAAATACTATAAGAGGTAGTCAATTTGAAAAGTCATATTTGTATAATCTGGAAACAACAATAATTAAACCAACATACACTTAATTAGCAGTCAATATCACTTTATTTGAAATAACCATACACTTCAACTCTTAAGTACTATTTGAGCTAATTCCATATTTGATAAAGAACACAATATCAATTAAACAACACTCAGAAGAACAGAGCATGTCATATGAATTTGTGGATTGCTTTATATACATATTTAAAACTATCATGCACCATAGTTATATTTCCTAATTATAAATAACAAATCGGAAAGATGACGTTCTATAAACAAAGTACAAACACATGAAAAAGAATATAGGGCTTTTCGATATTAGTCATCAAACCTTTCATATAAATGTAGTCTCCCAAATCTTCATAGGTCATATTTTGAAATCAGTCCCCAAAATATATTAATTTTATATGCCCCAAATCTTTTAAACTAATGCAAAGTAGAGAGGTTTGCTACACAAAATCATAATAGCATGCAATACAATGATGTGCACTTAATATAAAGTTTGCTTAATTTTTACTATGAGTATAAATTGACAGCATGTAACAAATTATAAAAGGAAAAAGATGAAAACCTTTAATATTTTAGCTTGTGCTCATTGGAAGCCTTTTACATGCTTAGAACAAAAGGAATCCTTGTGTCAAATCTAGATAAAAAGAGCTCATTTAACTAAAAAGAACACCGTAAAGAACATAAAATCACACAAAAACAGAAAAAATATTATTTCCCTATATTGAACCCTTTACAACGGTTAGCAAAGCGCCGAGCCTAGAAACATCTTATACAAAACAACCGCTATATGTCCACTGTTGAAGATGCGCAATGGCTTTCAAAATAATAATGGTAAAGTTACATGTATAGAAAATTTATCAAGATGAGTGCTCGAAGAGGCACATTAAGTGCATGATTAACCAATCTATGCTTGAAATATGACTTGGACTCGACAAATTGACCAATCTTGCTAGAGTCATAAAAAAGAAGAGAGATACATTGCATTGGTTCCCATAACACCAAGAAAAGTAAGGGGAAAAGAAAAAAAAACGTAATCAACTTAAGGAGCTAGGAATTATATTTGGAAAATCGAGTGCAGAATTAAAGATATATAACTTTGAGAGTTTGGAATGAGGTAAATGAACCGAAAACTTGAAAATTTTGTATACAAAAATTAGAAAGAGAATGAATTTGAAAAGTTGCTTAGAAACGAAATGGAAAGATACTGAAAATCTAAAGGTTCATTGTGTCCAACTTGGAGAGGAACTTAATGAGGAGCTTGCTGGAAAAAAGGTTAAAGAGCATGGTGAAAAAGGAGTTGGTTTTTAAATGTTAAAATCAATTATAGGAAATTCGAACAGTTAGGGAATAGCAGGAAAGCTGTGAAGTTCCTTTGAAAAGAGAGTTTTAATTAAGTAGGGGATACAAAAGACGAAAAGGATGTTGGAAAGTTTTTTGGAGATTAGTTGATCACTATTCTCAAGATGTAGAAGGACTTAATTGAGGTAGTGCTGAGAACATAGGTATTAATTAATAATTAACGAAACTAAACGGTTATAAGAGATTGTTAAATAAATTAAATAGAGAAATTAGAAATTGGTCAGCATTGGTAACGCTTTTAGAATGTGACAAGTGGCAAAACTATGGAGCCAGGTTATTACTTTATGATTAAAACTAGTGTTACACTAGGGCCATGCTGCGACATTTCTTTAAATTTAATTATAGAATTTTCACTTTATATTTTCATTACTCAATCATTGAGATATGTGAATTCAATAATTAGTTTGAGCGTTGAGCGTGATAATTAAACTAAAAAGAAGCATATTTCACGAACTACTTGGGTGTATTTTGAGCAATTAAAAGAAATCTAGATTCACATAAAGAGGCAAATTAAATATTTATGTAGCACTATTGAACATATGTTTGCGTATGATATTGTTAGTAATCAAGACTCAGAATAATTAAGAAAAACTACGCTTGTAGTAAAGCATATAACATATTAAAATCTTTCTTAAGGATATGTGCAAACTTTCAATTACTGAGAGTCCTATACCACACATCGTACATGGTACTTAATTTTTGCATGCATGCACCTTCGCTAACATTGATATTGATTACTATAAATTGATCATAATTTTGTGATCACAGATTGCTCATGATTGAATTTGTCCAAATGATTGACATTCTTATCAAGGACATTGTCATACAATACATTTTTTCATTTTCAATGTGCCATTGAGATGATTGGATAACAAAACATCATTGAAATTACAAACAAATAAGCAACAAAGAGGAAAAATTACAAACAAAGAAGCAACAGAAGGGGAAAATTATAAGCAAAGAAGCAACAAAAGGGATATGTTTATGTACCCATAACAAAAATATAAACATATAAAATGGATAAAATACTTTCACAAGAATGGAGTGTAGCCATAAACTCTACAAGAAAAGTGAAGTTGGATGCATAAGAAAAGCCCGATCAAACTTTCCTTATCAACAAATCACATCATCGTGGAGTTGGAATTAATGAAAGATAAAGGGATCGTAGAGTCCTTTTATTAGGATTAGTTTGCAAGATCTATAGAGGAGATGAATTGAGAAAGAGTGGGGAAGTTGATCAGGCTTAGCCATGAGTGCAATTGAGTTGATGAGGTAGTAAGAGATAATACAATTAGTGGTAATTAAGAGATGTTACATTTCCATACTCATAAAATTGCAAAGGATACATAGAAGATGAATAGTCAATTCTCTAAAATTTTGACATATGTGGCAAATTCTCTAAGAATTTGACATGTAGCGTCTCACGGTCTTGCTTTAGTATATTGGATAGATATTGATGAGTCAGAGGACAGTGGATGTACTGGACAACAGATATTTATGCTCCTATACTCCAGTCAGCCATGGTATTTAGTGACTTACCTAGCAATCAGAGTATGAGTTGAGTTAAGAAGATGTTATTGTTAGCCCTTGTTTGAACAACAGATCAGGTTGTGCCACACAGATGTTAGGCATGAGATTGAGTATGTGACATAAATGAAGGAATAAGTTGACATTCGCCCTGTTAACCATTTATTGCCTCATCTTGTGTTCCTTCTTGTTTTATGTCACCTTGACATTCACGTGCTAGGTTGTGCCTCATAGTACTTTGGCAAAGCTTAAAGGATGTAACTGACACAAGTTATTGAATCAAGGCTGGGATACTGGCTGTGTGGGTAATATGGTGTGCAAACTGATGGCTGATATGTTATTACCCAGCGTCCATGTAAGAAGGTTATGTGATCTGGACTTATTTACTGGGGAAAATGATGTTCGAAGAGGTGTTTTAATTGTTTAGTGTCACTACTCACTGCATCTGACAAACACCTCACGACTTTCATTCATTTACCATCATTAAAATACTACTATTTCAACAGAAGGAAAGGCCCCAGTATTTATGAAAATTGCATACAACACCATGGAATAATTAATATTTCATATGACTATTCTACCTACTCCTTTCTAATTATAGATTTCACTCTCTTACGTCTTATTTTCTGCTGAGTATAGGGTTCTATATCAACTATTCCTGACTGTTGTTGGATGCTAACATTTTGGTTGGATGTTGGCTCTCATATTTCCTCCATTAATCTTTTATGTTTATGATATATCTTTTGTAGTAAGGTACACTTCTTGATTTTTGCCTTACTTTGTTAACATTGTTTTTTCTTCACATGAAAGTATTGCTAATTATCAATGCATAGCATATTGATAGCATCAAAATATGCTTATGTATGTATCTAGTTTTTAAATTATTGAATTTTTTTTTTTCATTCTCTGCAGGAAAGCTACGAATGAGATGATGTGCATGCGATGTCTAACGCTTCAGCCAATAGGGTCTAGTTGCAAGTCGCCTTCTTGCAGTGAATTCATTATGGCGAAATACTATTGTAGTATCTGCAAATTTTTTGACGACGAAAGGTAATTTTGGAATTTGATTATAGGCTTTATTGTCATGTAGTGTTGCAAGGGGGATTCAAATATTGAGGCAGGCTTGTGTAGTTCTTCCCTGACATTATTTGAAATTCCATAATTATGTTTATAGGCATTATTTGAAATTTCATAATTATGTTTATATCTTCTGTTAAGTGGACATCTTTTTCCTAATTTTATTGCTCAAAAGTACAAAAATGAGAAAAAAGCTAGTAACCCTTTTAATGATTGTTGATATTATATAATTTAGTTCTTTATTATATTGCTAAGTTTTGTTCTGAAAATTAACCTCTAGTGCATGTAGCAAGTATCAGCATTTTGACACAAATTGGAGTCAATGACTCTATGCCAGAGTTTTCTCTCTTAACTCTAGAAGTTATTGTAAGATAATTGGAGACACAAGGAGGTAGTGAGAATCTCTCATGGTGTTTCAGTTAATCAATTTTAACCTGGGATTTTAAATATTGGTCCCTTAAAATCTTTCATATTTTTCAATTAATTCCCAAAATTATTGAAATTTCTCTTAGCCCCTATTTGGAGGGCATACTTGTTGTAAAGGGATTTGATACAGCAAGTTCAATGTGATTCTAAGTTGGGAGTTGGGGTGTCAACTGGTTGGTCAGGTTGGGGTTAGACATTTTGTGGTCAAACATGATATTTTGGTTTAGTTCGAACAGGATTCAGTTTTGGTTCAGGTTTGGGTTTTCCTGGTTTTGGTATGATGCACTTGAAGAAAATTAAAATCCACACATTTAGGGTTGGGCAGATTTACAAGCTTAATCATACCCTATGTTGCATGGACGCTTGTCACGCAGCCGTTCCTGTACCCGGTGCTTCGTGTACCCGTACCTGACACTACTTGAATATATGCATATATTTTCTTGGGCATGTACCTATTTAATACATGTTTTGATATAGAACACTCAATCGTATAATTAGTAACAAAATAAAGATAAAAATGTTATAGAAATTTTGGTTTTCATAACTTGTGAATGAAAAAAAACTATTAATCTTATGTAAATTACTAAAATATAATGTATACACAGTATCCCCGTATTCTTCTTTCTATAATTTTTTTTGATCCATACCGGCACTGATACCCATATCCATACCTGTATCCATGCAACATAGATCATGCCCTGATTTTGGATTGGGTACGGGTTTAACCCTACCCAATTGAGAGTCCTAGCCAGGAGTTATGGGTGGCTGTGGATAGATCTTCCTCCCTGCATCCTCCCTGACTACAAAATATTTAAATGCAAAGAAAACATGGCTTTTCCCTTCAACATTAGGAGCTTTTAGATGAAGTGCTCCTTGTGTAGGGTAGTTCTGTCTTGAAGTGATTGAAAGAGGGTTCAAGTAATGAGGTTATGCGTTCGGAATCTGAGAAACTTAGCTGTGAAAGCTTTCTTACATGGAAGCTTTCTACTGGAGATATATCCATATTCATACATATCGGATGAGATACTCAGCATACAGGGTACTCAGTGGACGCCTTTTGGATGCTCATTTTAGTATATCTTCAATTTGATATTCGTTGTAGATGTTTCAAACAGTTTTTGTACAAATGAGTTGATTGATGACTAATGCTAGATGGTACTCATACTAGCAGACCTGATTGCAGTTGAAGATATTGATTAACAAATTTAAGCAAGAGACAATAGCAAGTAACAGTATATTAAAATCTAATAACAAGCTAACTTAATTACTAGAGGTAACATATTTCTAAGTAAATAATATATTAAATAGCAACAGTAAATGAAAACTGCATAACAAGCTAACTTAATTACTAGAGGTATTATATTTCTAAGTAACTAATACATTAACATGTTAGAAGCAAGAGGACAATAATAAGTGGGACATCTACAACATTTCTTGTCACCTTCTGAAGGATACACATGCATTATATACTGTTGCAACTGGCGAACATGTCTTATGCATGCGTTTCATGCATATTCATATTAACTTGCCATATTTGGCATTTTCATGGAACAGAGGGAAGCATATTATGTTATTGAAGTCCTCATCTATCCTAATAATTATTTTATTTATTTTTCTTCTGATTGTGGGTAGCCAAATACCAGATAAAAGCCTAGAAATGCAGGCCCGAACATTTCGAACTTGGACTTGATTAACTGTTTGTAGCTTCCAGCACATTCCCACCCTTGCGTTGAGATCCATGATATGTAATAGTAATATCATTGTCAAAATTCTAAATATCAAAATATTTTGAAATAGTCAGCTAATATAATATATGCAAGGTTTTTTATTATATTAGACCTCAAGGCTTTGTTAATTTTACATTAGACCCCAAATCTTCGTATTTCTAAATTAGATCCCTATTAAGTAGTTCTAAATAAAACCCACAAATCTATTTAGTTGTTTTAAATAAGACCCCCATTCTAAACTAATATAAAGTTTTGGGGCTTCTAATTTAGAGAGATGAAGATTTGAGGGTCTAAAATAGAATTATCAAAGATTTGGGGGTCTAATATGACAGAAAACCTCAGAAATAGCAGACGGACTTCTTCAAATTAGATACCTCTTTTATAGTATCAGATTAGTTTCTGGTCATGCAATAGGGGCACATATAGATAATTCTGATTTCTTATCTATTTTCTCTAGTCAGGAGGTTTTCACCTCTAATATTCTCCTGAATGTATCATCTCTCAGCATTCCCTTAAGTGCTCTGAAGCAATAAAATACTAAGAAGTTAGAACTGTATCTGCTTTGATATCTGTGGCATGATGATTTTTATTTCAGGAGTGTCTACCATTGTCCATTTTGCAATTTATGTCGTGTTGGAAAAGGACTTGGTATCGACTTCTTCCATTGTATGAAGTGTAACTGTTGCCTGGGCATGAAATTAGTGGAACATAAATGTCGGGAGAAAGGGCTGGAATCAAACTGTCCCATTTGTTGTGATTTTTTATTCACATCAAGTGAAGCTGTTAGAGCCCTACCTTGTGGCCATTTCATGCACTCAGCATGCTTCCAGGTCTATTTTAATCTTGTCTAGTATTCTCTAAGTTACTAATTCTATGTGGCCACTAATTTCTCCTTGCTATTTTGTGCAGGCATACACTTGCAGTCACTACACCTGCCCAATATGCAGCAAATCGTTGGGGGATATGGCTGTAAGATATCAATGTTGTTTTATCTTCTAGTCAAAAATTAAGCTTGTTCATTAACATATTGGCATACAAAAATGTTCCCATTGAAGTCAGAAGATAGCATTTTGATATCTCTGAATGATTGATTACCTATTTTTATTCAGGTGTACTTTGGTATGCTGGATGCCTTGTTGGCCACTGAACAGCTTCCTGAAGAGTACAGGGATAGATGTCAGGTATGATCTGGACGCTTGTTGCCCATTTATTTCCTCAAAATTTAGCGGAACTTTTCTTTTGTTTATTTGTTTCATCATCATCGTCATCATCATATCATTCTAAGTTGAGGAGCTCAAACAAATTGAACAGCCCGACCAAGCTCAACTGTAACCGTCATGAAAATTTAAATTGCCTTGTTTGCAGATTGAGAAACCTGCATCATATGACATCACCTAATGGCTTTTCATTGGTCATCCAGGATATTCTATGCAATGACTGTGACCAAAGGGGAACATCTCGCTTCCATTGGTTATACCACAAGTGTGGTTACTGTGGCTCATATAACACGAGGGTTATCAAGACGGACAGAGCTGATTGCTCCACTTCTAATCATTGAGGTTTTGTAATTTTACTTTTTTCTCTAGAACAACTTTTGAAGGTCTGTA